ACACACATACACATACACACACATACACACATACACATACACACACATACACACATAGGCACGTACATATTTTTTTTGTGTACGCCTTTACGAAAAAATATATTGAAGAAAAAAACGTGTTATTGTTTGTCACTGTATTCTGTGTTGTTCAAATACTTCGGAAAAATGTAAGAAATTTAGTATGTAAGCTTTATTTAGATGGTGAACTGAAAAGTTGATATAATTTATTCTAATTTGGAAATTAGTTTTAAAGAGTTGCATTTTTTTAACTTGTCGGAAGTTAGGTAATATTTGGTGATAAAATGCCTATCGTTGTGTTTTTATAGCCCATCATTGGTTTGGCGAAACATTAAGAATAGAAATCCACTACTCATAATGTGTCTTATGATTGATTCAGCAAACATAAAATTTTATTAAATTTTACTTTCTATGTCCTTCCTTTTTCCTTTCGGTAATATGGGCATGAAGACATTCATTGTCATTTCTAATAATCGAATTGCCTGTCGAATGAATGCTTCTTGTATTCCAGTTCGACGCTTTAAATACCATTAATTACTAGACTCATTAATATTGCTGCTGTTGTGGGTTGTAATTACAAATGCTACTATAAATAAATTTATCTAACCTACATCATCTCATATTAAAAGCTAGATAAATTGGAAATTCAATTTAATTTTACTATTTACTCATCATCTTTGTGATGGGGAGATGGTAAAATTTTATGCCTAAATATCTGCCCAGAAATTAGTTGATATATTGATATCCGGTAAAAGTCTAGTTTTAATTCACTTCTATGGTATTAAAATTCATCAAATAAATCAAAAAATACGATTGTTAATCAAATCCATTTGTATTTCCAATCGAGAAATATTTAGTATTCGAATTTTTTGAGATACTTCCCGAAATATATTGTACGACACTATTCATTGTCACTGATATTTTGAGTACCTTCTGGTATTTCGTATTTAAGAAAAATTTTATTCGAAACAATGTAACAGAAATATTTTAATCTTTCACACACCATAACCCTTCCTTCGTTGGTCCCGTTTAGAACAGACATTGAAGTATTGCATCGGAAGATCGATTTACTGTTGTACAGTGAGTTTGATTTGCGTCCCTGAATTTATCATCGTGTTTCATCGTTACGCTAAAAACAATTTTAATGCCTTGTGTGCTGTGTATATTTTCTCCTTCATAAGCCATTCTTCTCATTTTTCTATTATTTCACATCTATGATACCTTTATGCTAACATCTTTATGCTCAGTTTGAAAAGGAAATTTAAAAAGTTACAATTTCGAAATGCAAAAATAAGAAGTTACAAGCACTTATGCAGTGAAGAAAACATGTTGAAATAGCAAATCCACTGATTTAAATTTGCACTTCTTTTTCGTTATTTAATAAAATCTTGTTCAAATTCATATTTTAATAATATCATTTAATGAGATAGTATCCCGAATTCATTCAATCTGTGTCAAATAATTTATCCTTCCAAAAATACTTCACCTTCCAGAAATTTACTTTATTCCTTTTTTGCAGATACTGAATGCCAGTGATTTGACTTAACTCTAATTCAAGGAAATCCTTCCAGTCCGTTTTCTAAGCTATAGTGTATATGCATGTGTCTATGCATTCTTTTGATCAATAACATATCACATAGATGTCATCGATTTTGAGAAAATTATTCAAAAATGAAACAAAAAAAGTTACGCAGAAGAATTCAATTACGGGACGGAATAGCAGCTTTGTAAGTTAACCTTTCTTAATTTATTCTTTTTTTTTGTTTTGAAAGAAACATATAGAAAAAATATTATAAGCATGTGGTTCCATTTGTTGATAAATAATAATATGGAATATTCCATTGATATGACTTGATCATCTCAAACATTATCAGTAACGAAGTGAAAGATTACAGCCAGTGCCGTATTTATCAAAATTGGAAGGTAATCAGCTACAGCCTGGTCAGTCGCTAATTGTCCGAGGATATATCATTGGTCTTTTTTTGAGTTAATTTTACATCGTTTGAAATGGTTGTTTTGAAATGGAACAAAAAGAGCATTTAATCAAATGATGGAAGTGCATCAGAAGTTTCATTTAAACCTGCTGCCACTCTAAACAATGAATTAATAAAATTGTAATAGGATGAATGTGCCCGAAGGCTAAAAGATAGAAAAACCAGTTTGGAGACATTTTGATATACAGCTTTGAGAGTGTGGTGTGTTGTAAGATACTATAGGATTTTTATGATTTCATGATCCAAATTTTTCCAGTTTGATAAATTGGATTTGATTAAACTTGGTAAATTATGCAAACGTTTATAGTTGATTAATTTGAGAAAAAAGTTTACATACTGAATGAAAGAGTCAACTTTTGGAAACACATAAGTTTGCAATTTGAACAGAATTGAAAAAATAAAACTTAAGGACGTAATGAATTTATTATAAACCTCACAAATGGTGGAAAGGTGGAAAAGGAGGATGAGAATGACACTCTTGATGATCGACTTCTTGCCATTCGTGCAAACATTGCTCTAAAACGAATTTACTTGAATGCTTGTATTGATGGCGAGTGGGGAAGGTTAGTTTTTTCGAAAAACTTTAGCAATTATGAGAAGACTGTCGTAAACACTGTTGAAGTTTTGATGATAATAAATTACTTTATCATTAAAGAATGATTTATAGAGAAGGCTCTGTGAAACATAAGTGGACACCCGGCGATGAGTTCGATATACGAATTAGGTGCCATGAGAAATATTTTGAGGTAAATTTTGAAAATTTTTAGAACTAATTCAAAAAAATAGTTAATCACTAATTAAAGATTTCAAGTAATTTTGGTAAGTAATTTGTTTTGAATTACTGCTTGCTTTCAATATCTGCCATTGGACGGATGCATTTAAGTTATTCCTGTATTTGGGTAAGAAATTATTTGAAATAATTTTAGATATTCGCTGATCATAAATTACTGGCTAAATTTGCATACTACATGCCGATTTCAAATATTTCGCACATCTATATGAATGGTGATGCCGAATTATACACAGTTTCATGGGAAGGCAAATATTACGTAAGTATAATGAAAATAATTTTGATAAGAATTTAATGAAAATTTACCGCTCTGAATAAATTTTTGTCAAAAAATTTTTCTTGATCCGATTTTTTAATCTGTCGCAGCATCGATCATTTAAATTGATATGGAAAGTTGAAAATAAAATCGAACAACGAGAAATCAATCGAAATTGGATTCTCTGACTCGAAAGCTTTTTTCTATCTATTTTGAAATTTTGAATTAAATGCAAATGAAACGGATGCATTTTCTTTAATCATAACATTTCCATAATTGCAGCAAGTGCCTTATACAGCAGATATCCCGGGAAATTTCTATCCAGGCCGAAAGCTTTATGTGTCAGGGTTTGTCAAAAAACGAGCCAAACAGTTCATGGTGGATTTTCATTCCGGTAACGATATAGCATTCAGATTTAATCCACGAATCGCTGAAAAAGTAAGTTATGAGTTGAAGAGACATTAATTATTATTCAGTTGGTAGCCATTAGAATTTTTTTGAATTATTGCACGACAATTATCACGAAATAAAAGATTATAAGAAAGGGAACATTTAGATTATCTGATAATTGATTCATGTAAAAGCGAAAATTGTTTCATAAATTTCAGATAGTTTTTCAGAAACTAATTCGGAATACTCGATCGGAGGAACGTTGGGGAACAGAAGAAAAAGAGCTTGAAATGCTATTTCCGTTCAAAAAGAAGCGTGCTTTTGACTTATTATTTTACTGTGACGAAAATCGATTTCTTGTTAGTTTATCTTTTTTTTCCAATAAAACAAAGCTTTCTCAGTACAGCTAATTTTTGAATTTTGTTTAAGTAAAAATTCAATAATTCTTTGGTTTGGGATGGTTACAGTGTTATGTGGATGATTGCCTTGTGTGTTCATTTACACATCGAATGTCATCCCGAGATATCGATAAACTCTCCATCGATGGCGATATCGAATTACAGGGAGTACACCTCAAATGAAATTTTTATTTCTATTTGATCCATTTTCTTCCTTACGTCTTTAAATTCTCTTCAACTATATTTTGATGTTTATAATATTCTTACTTTATGCTTAATTAATCATCAAGAATAGATGCAAGATCTGAAACTAAAAAATATTGAAGCGACTTGTAATAATTATTCTGTAATATAGTCTGCAGTGTACATTTACCATTGAAAACTGAGTTATCGTAAGTACGAAGTAATACTGTACTAGAAACTCCGATTTCTAAATTTTTTTCAGTAAATATTATCTCGATAAGTAGATCATTTTTTTATCCCGAACTTATCTTTTAAGCTTATTTTTAATTTTATTATTTCTGGGATAAAATAGTAATATTTATCCCCAAAATTACAGTATTTTTTTTTCCTTCGTTTATACAACCAAGTGAACATTTCAGACAGTGATGTACGATTTTTCTTTTCCTCAATACAATTTTTTAATTTTTCACTGTTTTTCGCAGCAATATGTGTATACGTTTGTCAAAAACTTTTACGCAAATAATTAGCATCGACGGAACTACGTCAGATCACAGAGCCTCAAGTAATTGTGCCGCTAAAGTAGAAGATAATATATAGAGAATGTGAAAGAAAAACAAGTTCAATTTCTAATTTACATTTCATCTTAAGAATTCCTCATAACTCACCCTTGTAGTAAAGTGAATGTAACGTTAACACAATGTTGAGAGATTCGTACATTGTACATAAGAACAAGAATAATTTATTACTTTGTCCTGTATGTCTATACAAAATAATCATAACTAATTGTACTATTATAAGTAAAGTATGCATTAGCAAAGCAAGGCGATATTCTGAAGCAAGGAATCACGAAGTTTTCCTTAGATTTTTAACAGTGAAAGTTAATTTTATTGACTAACTGTAAATCAACATGATTATGCACCAGTAATACTTGAAATTTCAACTTTCATTTCTCAAAATTTACACGGAACATGTCATTCTAGTTGAATTGTTTTGACGAATTTGATAATATCAGCAGCAAGAAGTTTTGGCTCTTCGAGAGCGGCAAAATGCCCACCACGTTCGATTTCTTTATAATGTGTTAAGTTGTACATAGTTCGCACTGCTTCTTCTGACTGTTTGATCACATCTTCCGGAAATACAGCATAACCAGTTGGGCTACTGATGTACCGACTTTAAAAATAAATTTTAGTAAGCAGTTACCATCAAAAGCACACAATCTGGTAAATAACGTTGAATTCAAGATGAAATAAGAGAAAACGACTTGCTTGAAGTTTCGAGATGAATTCTGGAAATATTCTTTATAAAGCCTCATAGCATTAACCATATTACCATTGAACCAATAAATAGATACTATAGTCAGTAACTCATCCAATGTAAACTTCCTAGAAGAACACAACCTTGCAGAGATTTTCATATCTCATTGAAAAAAAATTGTCATTGCAAAACTTTCAAAATTTTATACTCCGTTTAAAAGTTCATCAGAATTACTTCGTGAGTCCTCCGTCATGAAATGACCGATAAGTAGTATTTGTTCCGTATGAAAATTTTTCCAGGATATAAGCTGCCAAGCCTATTGGAGAATCACTAAGTGCTGCACCTAAAACATTACAGAATTTTTTAGAAACTATGTCAAAAAATTAATTATAACTTTCAAGTCTCTCATTTAAAAATGAGTTAATTAAACTAAATACTTAATTTTAAATCATTAATTTGTGATCTAATTTCATTAATTCTTTAAATTTTTACTAAATATAAGTCCCAATTAGGTCAAGTAAAAGAAAATAACAGTGGCATTTTATGCGATCTTTAATTGGATTTAAGAAACTCGAAATCATTACCAACGGTGTCCGGCTTTGTGGCCTGAATATGCATATATCCGGTTTCTTCAAGCAGATCTTTGATGAAAGCGCTTGCAACTTGTTGATGAAATGTTTTAGAAGAATAAACTAATCTCGGTGCTATGATACCAATTGTACTGTACAGTAACGCTTTCCAAGTGAGTGCTATCGCCATATTTAAGTGTAAACCAATAACACTGCAAGAGTTACATCGAAATAATTAGTTGTGCAGATTTCTTTAATTTCAAAATTCGAAAAAAAATTCAGAAGCCAAGAAGGGAAGAGTAAACGAAATTAGGACTGCATATAAGATTCAATGTATAGCTTAAATCTAATCTAATGAAGACTGATCTAATGAGTATATTAATAAAAATGAAGATTGCCCATAGTATGTGAAAAGTGGGGAAGCTGCCGCATATTTAATACTAAAAAATATCTTTGCAGCTATTCTAAATGATGGAGCATTTTTTTGTTATTCTTTTCGAAAAAGAAAAGCCAACTTTTTAGGATAATAAAAAGCAATGTCGCTGGCAATGCTTCTCCCCCAATCTCCGCCTTGCAGGAGATACCTTGAAAATCCCAAACGAATCATCAGTTTGTTGAATATTCTTGCTGCCACTTCTGGGTTAAATCCTATAAAGTTCGAAATCTTTTCCAATAAAAATAAAAAAATGCCTGCTTCCATTACAATTTGCAAAAGTTTTCAAAAGCAGTACAGATTAATGGTAAATGTACATTTGGAAACAAAAACTTGCAAATTTTTAGTTTCAAAATTAACTCTGTAACCCAGTTGCCCATTGAATGAAGCGAAACTAACAGTCGAACAAAACATGAATGATCAGAATCAAGTGTAAATAACTCGAGATATGAACAGCTGATCAGAATGAATTGACATATAGTTAACTCCTACAGTATCGCACACTGTAATCTAAGAATATTAGAGTACGACTGTCGGCTAGTTTACTTCATTTAAAAAGTCTGTGCTATTTTTGTTCCGGTACTATAAAAATAATATTTTAAAAAGGTGAGAGTAACCTTTCTAGACAGTCTGTCCATTTTACCTTTTTTCATTGGTGCGGTGGACCAACCGAATCCGGGAATGGACGGTGCTATCACTTCGAAGGCCACATTAATATCGGAACTAATCTGCTGAACTGGATCCAATAATATCGGGATGATTTTAAAGAACTCGAACACATTTCCGGGCCAACCATGCAATATTAGAAGTGGAATGACAACTTTGTAATTATCTTTGACTGGTTTGGCATGGATGAAATGGATCTGTAGCGATAAAAAAGCAAGAAAAATTATACTTATCTCAAGTATTCTTTTCATTCTTCCAGTAATCAAATAACTTGGTTAATTTGAAAACTTAAATGACCAAATAATTGTCACTGATGTGGTCGTAAAAGCGATAAGAGATGAAAAAGATGTAATGGTCAGAAAAAAAGATCTACCTTAAGGCCTTCAACTTCAGTAACGAATTGAGGTAGACTATTAATAATTCCTTCATGATACTTCCAATTATATTTGTTGAGCCAATAATTAGCCACATGTTTGAGGTATTTACCATTAAAACCATATGAGAAATCATTGCAATCCTCTAGCGGTTCATAACTAATTCGAGCATTTTTCAAGCGAGACTTCAAATCCTATAATTCAATTCCCACTATTAACGTGGAAACATTCATCATTAATTTCAAGTCACCATTCTAAAAAACGACTTACCTGTATGGCTTCCATGGAAACATTAATTTTAAAAGGTATAATGCGCTCATCGTCTGTCCGCTTTTCTCCGTGACCAAACCATCCATCGGCAGCTGTGTGACTCTAAAAATTTTGACTTAAAATTTGCTAGATATGAGGAAAATGAATTAGATTCAAGTCACAAATTATCATTTTATGGAATTTACTCTCTCTAAATTCACCAACATAAGATTTACTAAAATTGTCTATCATTTAAATACAACTGGCATTATTATTTCAAAGCTTGAAAAAATTTCAAGGAAAAAAGAACTCACTGAACGAATAGTACTGAAGTTCTTGCTGACTATATAAATTGTATAAGCAATAAATACAAAGAATATAGCCTTAATTAATTGAATTGAATAACCCATTGAAGGAACAAATAGATAATATCAATTCTTTGCTCTAAAAAATTAATCACAAATTGAATATCTAATTCATTCATACTCAATTTCATGTTTCATTCCGATTTTATTTGCAAAGTGTTTGACATCAAATCAAATCAACGAATGTATCCTTGTCCAATTAGATTTAAATTTTAGATACCGATTATTGCTTCAGCACTTGAAGTATTTTATTTCTTGGATAAATTATGATTAACAAGGCATTATTTGGATCGCAGAAAGTGCTTACTTAAGTTCGCTTCTAATTCAAATCATTAGTAGATTACGAATTGAAATTTTATCACTTAAAATTTGCAAAGACAACTGTTTTATTGTTATTATTATCAAATAATAAAGATAAAAAAAACTTATTCACAATTAAAATCTAAATTAAAATTCGAACAGTTCTATAGTATTATGTTATGTACAAATTTTACAAATGTTGTGGGTCATCCATTTGGGGAAGTTGAAGATCAAACCTTCAAGTTATGGCTGCCAATTAATGAAATGAATAGAACTGAAGAGTAAAGCGTTGTATTCTCGTTGATCGAATATTGGTGACAGGAGAGTAGAGGTTAGAAATAGGAAAGTGAAGCGAACAATTTGTGTAATGTTCGGTGCACGGCTGGCGATCATGGATCGCTCATCTAATTATTTGTTTAGAATTTCATATTATATTGCAACTCGTTCGTCCAGTCTCAAACAATTATAACTTTCACAGTTTGATGCTACAAGTCAAGCCTATCCAGGGAACTTTTCAATTTAAAACCAATTCTGATTTTATTTTTCACTATTTAAAGTTTTTATTTGGTTAATTATGCGTTTGGTTAATTAAAAAGTTGGTTCTGAATTTGGTTCTTTAGAGTCTTCCTAAATTTGATTGATAAGCAAAATGAAGGATTCAAATTTGTAGAGTTTGTTGTCGAGATTAAATTATTAGTGAGTAAAATACAAAGTGTAAAAAACACGTGAGAGTTAAAAAATAGAACATTCATTATGTATCAGTTTGATTATTGAACACATTTCTTGAAATGCAATTCACACATTATAATTCACTGCTAAAAAAAACATATCACCAAATAAATTAGTTTAATATTATGATCATTCCAGTAAATTAATTACAGCTGTGTGTGGTTATTACAAGTTTCCGTGCAACCATTTGGTGATACACAAACGTCGTAATCTTCCATACATTTCCAGTAGTGCTTACAGCTGTATATACAATTCTCAGCTATCTATAATAAATTTATTTTCTTATTTTTCTATTTTATAATTATAAACATAAGTAGAAGCTATGTTCCATAGCAAAAAATAATTAAAGTTATCAATGGACTGTGAAAAGAAAGCTAAGTTAAAATATTTTGAATTGAATCGAACAGCTAAGTTTATAGATCACAGCTAGATTTATTAAATACAATCGTTAGTTGTTCAGCAATCGGTCCGGGACTGAATTACTTAAAATGAATTGGGGGGATCTGCCGGAAATAGTATAAGAGAAGGCATATCACAAGTGATCAATAATTGTTAAGTCATAGATGGACAAACTAGAAAGTTCTTGGTAAGCATAAAACATTTTTCTCTTTCGCGTAGGAACTTAAATGTTTTTAATACATGTACTTTTCCTGATCGTAAAACAATCGCTATCTGTTCATCAGATTTTTTGACAATCAATAAAAAAGTTTTGTAGGTAGAAAATTAAAAAAGAAATGGATGATTTACCAGTAAATAAAAAAAAAGAATCAGTCGATGCATAAACATCCTGAAACATTTCCTGAATGCTTTTGAATCTACCAAATTTTCACATATACTTTTGCAAATATGACCTTGCAGCAAAAGTTATTTGTGGGTGGATTGCTGGCAATGATTTGTTGATGGTTAATGCTCAAATCAATCTTCTTATTTATTACAACTATACTGTTTATAGGAAGGAAAAAGAAATGAATGAGTGCTGGGATGATCAGATTGGTATATGTAAAGAATAACAAAAGGGGCTGAATACTAGAATTATGCTGATAGATCAAATTCAGATTCCACCATGAGGGTTATTTCAGTAATTTATTTTTGAAAAAATCCAACAGCCTTACACAATTTAAAGCGTCTTTCCAAAATCTCTTTAAGAAATCGCTCTATCAAAGAAATCTCTCCTCCACTTTGTAAATTATGAAATTTTATAAAAATTAAAACAAAGTCGGTATTGAATAGAAAAGTGAGTTATTGCATACAAATAATCAAAATTTAAAATTTTACAAATGTTTGCAGCGTCTTCCTGAAAAAATGTTCTTATTTCATTTGGAAACGCTATAAATAAATGTTTGATTCAAAAATATGACAAAGTAAACAAGAATTTCGGTATTGCTTAGTATAATAAAAAGAAGATAAAACAGAAAAATAAATTTGTAATTCTAAAAAATTTAATGAAACAAAAATTTCAGTCCCGCAAATCAAAAGTTGGAGACGATCAAACATTTATAAAGCAAAATTTTCATCAAGAACTGCACAAACAAAAAAGGTTCATTTATGGCATTTCCAATGGAAGTAATAACATTTTTTTCAGGAAAACGCTGTAACATTTGTGGAATATTAGATTTCGATTATTTGTATTGCAATGATATTCCTCTATTCAACATCAATTTTTTTTTAATTTTTTGTAAAATTTCGTAATTTTACAAAAAGAAAGAGAAATCTTTTTTAACGCGATTTCTACTTTAATTTAAATGCATAACAATTAAAGCGCATTCCAATTTTGAGGCCTATACATCTTTTGATTTCATCACTGACTTCTTAACCCAATATTTTACTCGCTAATGAACTTCGGTACTCTAAAAGTATCTCTTTCAAAGATGAATCGAACAGTGTAGAATCTGACAGCAATAGCCAAATGACAAGCTATCGTAAATGATTGTGGAGAGTTTAGTTTACATAATGGATGTAAATCGTTTATAATCAAAAACTTACACATTGCATTGAACTTCCGATCAATCCTGGTCTATCACACTCAACACACTACACAGTATTACTAAAAGATCAAAATTTAAAATTACTGGAATAATTGAAATGGAGTTATTGAAAACAATTAATAAAATAAGACCATTTACATAATAACACTTTAAACTTTCAAATTTCAATAGATTTAAAAAACAACAAAGCTGTGCATATGATGGATATAATAACTGTATTTGCACCATTGCAGTAATCATTTTCACTGCAAAAACAATGAATTATTTCACCATTCAATTTCAATAGATTGCCTGGAATGGCAGTTATGTGTGATGATATGCAACCATTTTCGCTTCCTAGCAGATTGATATCGGAGCATGCTTTATGCACTGCACGAAAATCTGCAAGTTAGCTTTGTGATGAGAGGAAAACAAATATTGAAATAAAAGATTTGAGATGTCTGTTCAAATGCAAATAACAGCTATCCAAAAATTTTAGAATTTTTTGGAAAAAATTTTTGATGAATTTAAAAAATTTTTACCATCAAATTTAATGACACTTTTGGAACAAAATTTTTTATTGCAATGTTCGTCACTATGCATGCAATTCTCTTTCACTGTACTGCAACTGTAACACATCCGATCGGGATTATTTAATGCTGTAAGATAATGATATGATAAGATATGGTGCACAAAAAGCTATATGCATTTTGTCTTCTAAAATTAAAAAGTTTAATTACAGAAATAAAAATGAGACAGTTTGAAAGGAATAGTAATTAACGTAAGTTCTTATAATTTAAATATATTGATAATTGTTGCAAGATGGAAATCGGTGCATTTTGGTCATAAATATTATTTGATCAATGGAGTTGACTCTTCTGAATCACAATCAAAAAAGAGATTACAAAGTAATCTGATACATTATTTAAAGGCTTAAATTTTCTCAGTTTTTTTAAGATAAACGAATACTTGGTAGGTTGCAATTTTATTTCTAACAACTGAAATTACTTCAAATTAAACTAAAACCAACAACTCGCTGATCCAGTACACGTTACTGCCATTGAAAAATCTTTCACTTTTATATTGCAAGCTTCTCTAAAGATAAGCATAAATGCAATTTAAGAAAGTGAACTTTGTAAATTATTCAACGTAACATCAAAAAAGTGTGAATGTTTCAGTATTTAAATGTTTAATTTGATTTCGGAAGAAACTTAACAGTAACTAACCCGGTGCAAAATTCCGCTAGCGCTTTGATGTATACTTTATTTCCATGTGAGTCGAAACGTTCGAGATCTTTGTCGTATTCACAGTACGATCCATTAAGTATCTGATTATCAGGGGAAGTACTTGGCACTCCAAGAAGCCGTTGATGACAACCTCTTACTACCATCAGCTCTTCAAGGAAACTGTTAACTTAAGTAACAAGAAATTTAAATTCAAAACTATCGTAATACGAAGAAAACTGAAAAAAAGGACGAAAAGAAATAAGAAATATTTGACATTCATTTATAGGAAAATAAAGAAACGTCCTTTATGTTTCAAAAAGAGAAATCCGATTTTCTAACCAACATCACCTGTGTCGGTGATGTCCGGATCTTGAAATATGTAAGTCATGCAATATCCGGAACACCTGATGTAGTGTGTATCAGTACCCAAAGTACAAGTTGCAGTAAATGAATAATCACGAAATGTCTGTGCAAAGCCTGTTAATCCCCAACGATCTCTCAGATTTATCGATGCACACTGTAAATTGAAAGATTGCATTTTTGATCATTTTGAGAAATGGAGCTTGTTAGAATTGCCTTGAATACGATCTATCACATCTATCAATTTTTATTTTTATCCATTTCTCGCAAAAGTTTGTGATATCAACTTAAAATTTAGTGTTTGCATCAGTGGTTCAAAAAACAGAGTTTATTATTTTATTGAGTAAAATTTTTTAAGAAAAAGGTACTGTGATTTAACATTTGCACAGAAAGGAAACAAAACATTTTAAGATATTTTTGGCAAAAAGTAAACAATTAACACTTTACCTCTACACAAGTGCTTGTTTTAGCTGTCATCACCTGCACTGATAACAAATATGCAACAAAGAAGCAATAAAGCATTTCTGCTTTCATTTTCAAACAAGTATTTCTTTGAATAGCCAAAAATTTACAGACTGAGGATGAAATCACAGTAAATTAACACACTATTTCTAGACTTTCATCATCAACAAAATGTTTGATTTTTTGATTTTATAGCAATCCTAAAGTTTGTAAATGTTATTTCAATTTATTCCAAAATGCGGTCGTAAATGTGATAACGATTAGTCACATGCAGATTCGTAAGCAAATATACTTTTACAAAAAAAACCTGATTCATCTTATTGAGATATCATTTGAAAACCATTGAAAACCTTAAAAATATTCCCATGATCAAATTTTCACGTTTTTAAATTCAAAAAATCAATTGATTAATGATAATCTCAGGTCCAAATCATATTTTTGTTTACCCAGTTTACAACCATAATTAATTTCATTTCGATCTTTGTCTTACAAAAACTGAATTACTTCGACAATACACCTAAACTAGCATAAATTAGAACTCAAAACTCAGTCGTTCCATTAATAAGTAATTGTGCCAGCTATGACAAATAATACCACTGAAATAATGCTTCGATTAAACAAGAATTTCGGAATGCTTGCACAAAGGATTTTGCATACGCAATTTTCACTTCCGCGTCTGATCGCGACTGATCTTTTTCATAAACTATCAGAATTTCTTGAAATTCCTTTATCAGCAGAAGAAATAAGCGATTGACCAGCTGAGGTGATATTCTAAAATCCGGAATACTGTAAATCGCACTTACATTCTATCTTTACATTCTTGGAATTTCATTCCTACACTTCCTTTATATTTTAATGTTTTGATCATTACTAAGCTTATTGTACATCTATTTTACAGTGCTCCTTACAGGACAGTGTCAACCTTACATACGGAAATATTGAGTCTGCATATGTTTTATTTTCAATAATTTTAAGTAAAAGATGTTGCGATTATGTGGGAAGCAAGGTTGGCTTCATAACTTTGCTTTTCATAAAAAAAATACATTGACTACCATTTGTATTCTTCCAATATGATAGTTTCAGTGCCACTGAGAACAATATATCCACGTTAGAAAAACTATAATGCATATTTTACAGAACTATTGAATTCCAGCCATCTATGAATTCATCGCTGATGCGAGAAAATTCGTTTTATTGAAAAATTTGTTTAGTTTTCAACTCTCTTGAAGTTGAATCCAGTAAAATATTGAAAAAAGAATGATTTCAAATGAGCCCAGAAAATACTATTGTACATACAGTTGATGGCCCAAGATAATCGTCTGCCAGTATCATAACAGCTCTGATTTAATCCTTTCTAAATGGCCACAACAGAACGTAATAATTAAAACAGTATGATTTAACAAGGGAACATCGTACACACTGAATTAGCAAAAATCGAGCATTAATGAGATCACAAATGTTGCTTTTTTTGGATTCCTGATAGGAGTTGACGCCCATCGTTTCGCCGTTTCTTTGCTGGTTGTTCGTTAATTTCATCAACTAAATTCCTTTCATCCATCTGTAAATTTTTTCAGTGACTTAAAATATCATATGAATATCAAATCTTTTACCTGACCCACTTCCAATAGGTTACATTATTTTCAATATTTTTATTTCTATGCTGTATCCTCGCATATAAAAATTGTTGAAAATTAACACGCAAAAATAGATCGTTTTTTTGTTAAAGACAATATAATAGCTCATGAAACTGAAAGGCATATAGCATAACGTTAGGTTAAAAAAATTCAGTGAAGACAAAATAAAGGAATAGATGTGAATTTTGAGAAGTCTTACCTCATGCATCTTCTGACATTTTCCGTCTCTTTTTGTTTTTGCGCCAAATCTGAAATCCAAAATCTTATTAAACATGAAAACAATATGATTGAGGAATTATTCATTATATGTATATGATTCAGAACTACGGAACATACACTGATGTTGCTAATTCATAATCCGTGACATCCTGTCCATTATCAAAGTCTACTTCGTTAAGCACGTTGCCGTCTTTTATATCCTTATAATATTTCATAAGCTTCTGAAAATAACATAAATTATTTGCATCTATTGTCTCTGCTAATTAAAAGAATAAAAACTGATACAAATTAAGAAAAAGCTGCATTCTAATAAATGTTAATAACAACTCCCAACGTGGAATTTTAAATTTTCTAATTAAACCAAATATAAATTTTGAAAAACTGAAAATTTCATACTCAATGAAGAAAATACCTCAACTTCGGGATTGAAACCTTTAAAAGACATCCGTCCAAATGAAAGATTTTCCAATAAATCATATCTATTTTCGGACTTCACGGTTCTAAATTAAAACTTAAATAATTTTTCCCTATGGAGATGCGAGCCCAGGAGAAAAACAGATTTTTAGTTACTTTACATCGGAAACTAAAAAGAATTTAAAGATTAAGATAATACATATCAATGTTCTAAAGGAAATTCTCTGATACCGGCAGAGAAATCACAATTACTTAGAAATTGCAGTAACGTTATGAGAAATATTTTCTAAAAACAACATAAAAATGTAGTAATTTCCTAATTCGGAAATTTAATTTCGAAATTAACTTACCGTTCTGTTACTTCTTCTGGCTCTTCTGACAATTTCTTCTCATCTTTTTTCAGAAAACGTTTCTGCAATTTCTGTTCGTTCTTTCTTTTAGCTTCTTCTTCTAAGCGAATTCTTGTTCTTTGCATAAACTATAAACAAGCTCAATCATTTGGTCTTTACAGAGTTATAAATAAAAGTTATAGTCAATGCTCTTTAAAAATCACCCAGAATTGCTGTTCCGCATAGAATTTATAAACCTAGTTAACAGTGAAAGTATTAGAAGGGAGAAAAAAGTATTGCAACCCAAACTCAACTTTTAAAATTGAAAATATGCCGCAAATAATTTCCAAAGCTATAAGCTGCTCTCTGTGCTTTTGGGATTGGGATACCGCTGCTACTTGGGAGTTCCATAATAAGGATAAAGGTAATAACTGAATAAAAAAATCGAATATAAGTCCTAAACAAAAATCAAGCATCTACTTTCACTCACAGAAATTTCTAAAAACTAACGAACTTTCATTTGCAGAAGCGCAGAAGACAATCCTTTAGTGTGTTCATTCATTTCTTGAGTAATGAAAAATTAAAGCCGTTCAATTAAAACGACAAATTAGTTTCCTGGCATCGATATTCTGCTATCTCACGTTTTTCTGTCCTTTCTGTCATTGTGAAGAAATAATATTATATTCATACGAATAAACAGAGTGTTACGAAGAAAACTACACAAAAAAGCCTTCGAAATTGGAACATTTAACATTTGTACCAGAACTTCGTTAATTAAAAGTTACATCCACAATGAAAATATCCTATCAGATGTTCCGAATTCATTTCTTGAAGAAATATTTCATTTTAATTAATGAGAAGCAAAGCAAGATGTAAATTAAAATATTAAACCGTTGATAAAACAATCGCATAGTAAATATATTGAAGAAAAGTGGGAGAAAATAATACGCGGTAAAGTGAACGTGAATGTAATGCGTAATGCGTTAGAGACGTGAAATGTAGGCTAATTATAAAAGGAACATTAATAAACACATATAAACATAACAGGCTTGTTCGAACACCAAAGGAAGGAGAGAATCACGTTTGTCGCAACTTGGATACCAACCGGCAAATTAAAGATTTGGAATTGAAAGGAGTGAGGATAGCAGACTGGGAGTGACAGCGGGGTGTGACCCCGACAAGGGGTTCGTCCCGGTGGAGTGAGGAGGTTGGGGTGGTACTTTTTTATCGGCTTCCCATCAAAAGTCTTTAAGCTGTTCAGTGCAGATCAAAAAGTGAAAGAGTGGAATTTCTTGAATACGGTAGCTTTCCGAATGGTTCCAAAATACCTCCTGTACAATCCCATACTTCTGTATCATTTCGTAAATCAGAAGAGAATTTTTGCTTCAAAAAAATGTTCACTAAAGTATTGTCTTTGCTTTGTGTCATCATTTGCATAAATGAGAGAAGTGCTCTAAATTACAGCCAAGAAATTGAAGTTTAAATTGGAATTTTATGTGGCATACAAGCTGACAGATTTACAAGAATTTATTTGAGAATGAAATAAATGTAACAGTGAATAAGCTGAATCCTATTCTGCACAAATATGGAAACTCTGATTTGTTGCTTTCTGCTACGATTGGCCATAAAATGAGTTTGGATTTGAGCCTGATTATATCAAGTATTAGTCATATTCACTATCGTGGTATTCACGGAGGAGCTCGAAAATGCCTGAAAGAAATAGCGATAAGAATAATAGAAAATAAAGTGAAAATTTTTTAATTTCTGACAAAGCTATTAACATATAATAATCAAAATTTATTAAAATTTTCTACGATGATGGACGTTTTTGATGACTTACATATTGCGATTATTATATTGTTGTTTTAATATTTCAGGTTCAAGACAGTGTGTGCTTTTAGAGCAATTAAAATTGTGATTGACTCAGATCGGAGGACGTATAAACACTTAAGTTTTTTTTACCCTTAAGCTACGTGAGGGAAATTGTTTCGAAAAATAAGTCCTACATTATAGAATTCATGAGAATCATAACTGTTTAGTTTCGATAAATGATACCTTATTGAGAAGTATGGCACAGTTATACAATGGACAAATCACCAACTGTCATGTCGTTTATTATTAGGACATCTAGTCTCAATTAATATTAAATAAATAAGTATACTGAAGCGACAAACCTCGTAATAGCCTAGTCTAGCTAACTGAAAAAGCGCCGTTCCACACAGAAATAAGTTGACGCTTGCTAGATTGTAATTGATAGGTGTGATGGCAAAACTGTAACGTGTCCAGATGGCGCCCGTAAAAAAAAGCGCGACATTCTTAAATAATTTATTCTTAATTTGTATATAACCTCTTTTCTTTTCAAATTAAAATGTACTTAATATTAAATTAATGTTCGAAATATAAAAAACTTGGACAGAAAGAGAGTAGGAATATTTTTTAATTTATTCAATCATTTTGACAAGCTTGAAACGCACGACAAATAATTAATTTTTTCTCTTCTTCCAAACTATTTTAAGTAAGAGCTGCTAAAGTGATAAGAAATAAATAAGTGCTTACCTGAAAAAAGCTAAGTTTTTCTGCTGGTCGCATCAGATCAGCCAAACCAGCCAGCACTAGACCCCATTTTATTGTTGGTCCCCAAAAAAATACAGTTTTAGGACCAGCAGGATGATCCCAAGTTTTTTTCAAGAAATTGGGTAGGATTGGATAAATTATCTGAAATATATCGGATAATTGATCAAACAGTTACATGCAGCAAATATTGAAATTTGTGAAATAGTTAAAAGAGAAATATTACACATTATTGCTAATGTTTATGAATTAGTTATAATATTTTAAGATAGTATACTGCGCCCCTTCTTTGTTACATTTTATCAAGACGGTATCATACTTTTATATTCAATTCTCGTGCTCGTTACAATTCAAATATTGCTTTTAACTTTTGGAATTTCAACTTTTGAAACAGGCTGAAATAAAATTTCGAAATAAAATTATATAGTTTTAAGAGAGAAAATTGTACTTGCCTTATCAGCAGCCTTACAAAATGCATCACATATGCAAGACATAACTTTGAATAATACAGTGATTTCTCCGTCTCAGTGAATGTATTAATAAGGATCAACAGCAGGTGTCACAAGACTGGGAGGTCATCAAAAACACAACACAATTGCTATAGTATTTAATACCATTTAGGAACCACCAATTCGATCTTTAGTTTCTAAAAAAAGAGAAATAAATTATAGTTTCAATCAGGAAATTAACGACTATGTTTCATATTCATGAGAAATGAAAATAACAAGAATGTATGATTGCAAAAATAATTCTTTTGAACCAAATACAAAAAAATGGATATAAAAAAGATGGTTGTATGACAGGTGAACAGCACAGAACAAAGGGCAGAAAGTTTTGGACAAAATTAGAAGACAAAATTCAACTTGTTTTTCTCACATGACTGCAAGTTATTTGAATTTATAATTAATGAAGAAGGCACATGAAGTATAGCCATATCATAAATTGAAATCAACCCGTAATACTTTTCAACAATAATAATATGCAAATCGTATTTTTCGACTTGTTATGATGTTGTTATGAATTTTAAAAAAACATATGGAAAATCTGTTTGTCGGTTTTATTCCGAACTTCTGATTATATCTTTTTTTCAATCCAACAGTAACCCTTCGGAACGAAGTGCAAAGAAAGTGGGAAGATGAAACAATCCTCAAAGCTTAAAAGGAATTTTTAATTGTGAATCTTATACTATCGCAAGCGGGCATGGAATTGTTTATCACATTGATTATATTTTTATAATTCTTTATAAAAATTTCGATACTATTCTATGAATTAACTGTTTATGAGATAAAGAATTTAGTTTTCAAATTCTAATAAAACATTAGGAAAGTTGAAGTGGAATGAATAAACTA